GTGAGAAGTGGGTACATGTGGAGGAGCAGCTACAGGTAGGGAGCAGGTGCAGGTAGGGAGCAGGTGCAGGTGGAGGAGCAGGTGCAGGTGGAGGAGCAGGTGCAGGTGGAGGAGCAGGTGCAGGTGGAGGAACAGGTGCAGGTGGAGGAGCAGGTGCAGATGGAGAAGCAGGTGCAGGTGGAGGAGCAGGTGCAGGTGGAGGAGCAGGTGCAGGTGGAGGAACAGATGCAGGTGGAGGAGCAGGTGCAGGTGGAGGAACAGGTGCAGGTGGAGGAGCAGGTGCAGATGGAGAAGCAGGTGCAGGTGGAGAAGCAGGTGCAGGTGGAGGAGCAGGTGCAGGTGGAGGAACAGGTGCAGGGGGAGGAGCAGGTGCAGGTGCAGGTGCAGGTGGAGGAGCAGGTGCAGGTGGAGAAGCAGGTGGGTAACCAGCCTGGCCTGTGCTCAGAGGGGCAGCTCCTAGGCTCCATGTCCTCAGTTGGGAAATTGAGGGGCCTCTGCCTCTGGAAAAGGGGTGAGCTTTAAGCACAGGCACAGAGCTCCGTGGTGAGAAGACCACCTGGGGAACCACAGCCCGGCGGGTGCCTGGCCTGAGGTCTCAATGGACATCGTGCTGGGACCCTGTGCTGGGAAGTTCACCCTCCCTTCCCCAATTCATCTCCCCTTCTCCTCCATCCCTGACATCTGCCATTGCCCCCCAACCTGGTCTGCACATGCCCACCACCAGGGTCCTAGCCCTACCCCAGGAGCCCACAGCAGCTTCCTGGGCTGCCAACCAAAGAGCCAACTCAGGAAGTGGCACGATACGAGTTATTTATAATGGTAAAAAGTTGGACCCAAGCTAAGTTTCCAACAAGATGGAGCTAATTAAGTAAATTATGGCACCACCACTCAGCTATCGAGTAGGCACTTAAATATGTTTGGCTTCTGAACAACGTGGAGACTGCTTAGGAATTCTAAGTGAAAATGCAAGATTAAAACATCTTACAGATACAGAACATTATATATATATATATAGATATATATAGATATATATATATATATATATATATATAGATATAGATATAGATAGATATAGATTTTTCTTTTTTTTTCCCAAGACAGGGTATCACTATGTAGTCCAGACTGGTCTTGAACTCCTGTGGAACCCAGGCTGGCCTCAAATTCCAGGAGATCCTCTTGCCTCAGACTCCTGAGTGCTAGGATTACAGGTGTGCACCACCACACCTGGCTCACGTCAGGCATTGTTAAGTCTTTGGAAAGCCTGGAGGGTGAGACTTCCACAGTTAACCAGGGCGCCTGGAAACTGGAAACGTGTAACTTCCCCTCTGTCTTCTGTTTCCCGGGTTCCGCAATGTGTGTATCACCTTTCTCAGTGGAAAACAGTTTTGCCCAGGGACTCTGAGGATGTTTCTTAGCGAGTGCACAGCTCAGGCTTCTTTCTGGCAGCCTCAAGGCTTGGCTGACCCTCACGAGCCTGCCCGGAGGGGACAGAACAGCACCAAGGAGCTGCACTTTAGGGTGCAAGCCTCAGAGCCCTCAGGGTGCCTAAAGGACGCAGGGTTGCACCCCCGTCACCCCTGGCAGAGCCTCCAGGCCAAACCATACAGGCCAGGACTCACAGGCCTTAAAATAGGTCCAGAAACCCAAGGCAGCTCTGGTACCCCGCAAACACCCCACTTCCTCCCTACCACTGGCTGGTAACAGCTCTGACCACCTTCAGGCTGGGGCCGTTAGCGGCCCAAGGAGTCCAGGTGCGGCATCTCAAGGACTGCAAAGCAGTCTGAACCAGGACAAACACAGTTCTGTGTGCAGATGCCAGGCCAGACATTCCATCACCAGGACAGTGACAGGGGCAGCCGCTGCACCTGCGTCAGCTCTGCCAGGGCTGCCACGGCGTGTTTCCTGCCTGCCACTTCCACGTATGTCCCCGGGGTCTGTCTACTCAATGGACAGGACTCAGCAAGCTGCGGCCCCACATCTCCCATGGAGACTCTTCCAGCCCCATGACGGTGGGTTACGTGACGCCTGGGGAGGGGCAGAGGGCCAGTGAGGGTTCCCAGGGCTCGAGACGCAGGGGTCCTAGGGCTGAGCTCATGACACAGGGAGCCTGACTGCTTCCAGCAGGGACTCTGCTCCAGCCCAAGTTTGCTGTGCCCCTGGCTTCTCTCCCCAGATGCTGTGTGTCCCCCACGCAGGGACCGGGGGCAACCCTGACAGGCACAGAGACAGTGCTTGAAGTATGTTTGCATTGTACAGATGTGATTCATACAGTCACATCTGCAGATGTAATTCAAGTCAGTTTTTAGGTTTTCTGTTTTGTCTGTGTTTTTGTAGTTCTGGGAATTGAACTGGGGCCTTCCCACTGAGCTACATTCCCTGCCTTTCTCATTTCTTTTTTTTTTTTTTTGAGACAGTCTTGCTAAGTTGCCAAGGGGGGCCTTGAACCTGCCATCCTCTGCTTGGGCCACCTCAAAAGTCAGGTTTGTGCCCACAAAGTGCCTTTTACCATGAGAGCTTAGCAAAGACACAGGCTTCAGCTCGTAGACAGACACTGACTCAGAGACAACAGCTTGTCCAAGGCTCCCCTGACACCTCCGAAACAAGCTCAGGGGGCACAGCACAGTTGTGAGTAACCTAAGCTTTAATTAAACACCACTGCCACTCTGGAAGCACTGCACCCATTCACGATGGCGAGTGGCAGCACGCAGCAGCAGGCACATCCGTAGCTGGCATGCACAGGTCCTGGGTAATCCCAGGCACCCCAAAAGTTCACTCCTCAATCTAACAGACTGTCCCAGCTGTGAGGTGGGGATAAAATGTAACCCAATGTGTGTGTGTGTGTATGTGTGTGTGTGTGTGTGTGTGTGGGCACGCGCGCGTGTGCGCAGAAAACAGAATTAAAAACCATAAAAAACAAAACCTTCCCCGGAACACTGAGAGGGGACAGGGGCTCCAGCGCGGGGGTACAGTGCCCTGGCAGGTATTCCAGGCTCCTGCATTTGAGTGCTTGAGCCAGCCACGGGGCCCCGACTCTACTGCGGGCACAGAGCTCCCTGAACATCCCGTTCTTCACAGGTAAAATGGAAGTGGGGGCCCCTCGAGGCAGGCAAGAGTCCACCTCTGGGCCACCCCACCCTTAGTTTGCCAGTTCAGGAATTTCTGTCACTTTTCCCCAGTGTCTCTCAGGCACCCACCCTGCATGTGCCCCATGGAAACACTGAGGAGACTCAGGCCTGGCCACACCCGCTGCTGGGGCCCATGTACTCACTGGGGGGCAGCTACATGGGACAGCCGTCTCTCAACCAGCGCAGAGGAAGGACAGACAGGGTCCCAGGCAGCACCTGGGCTGAGACTGAAAGGGCAGCTCCATGCAGCTCTCTAGGAACAGGAGAGGGGCGGCTCTCCTGCAGAGAAACCAGCTTGCGTGCTAGAGGCTGTGGGGTGAGACTAGCTGGGGTCCATCAGCCAGACCACTTGCCCACTGGATGCCCCCCTACCCACAAGCACAAGGCATCTGGCACATAGTATAGGTGCCCATAAATCCTGGGTGCCTTCCTCCTGCTCCTGGAGGATGGCCTTGCAGGGTCCCCAGGATCGAGGACTGTCTACCAGGGTCAGAAAATACTCACTGGTCAAGGCCATCAGCCTGAGGGAGGGGCTGTTCAGTGCAGCTAAGCACTGGGGCAAAAGGCTGGGAGCAGATGGTCCCTGAAACCCCTCTCAGTTCAGACACTCTGTGCCAGGTAACAGGTGGACCTGCCAGGCTGGCACACAGTAGGCGTTCAATAAATGTTTGCTGAGCAAAAATTAACAAGTATCCTCCAATTTCTGATCAAAACTCCAGACACCTTTCCCGACATGAAACTTTGGCTTCTGTACCTCCCTGCATAAGAAGCCACCTGAGCCACTCCTACCCCAGCCTGGAGGAGCGCTCAGCTCCCCAAAAAGCACTTGCTCTCAGCCTGCTTCCCACAAAAAGGAGGATTTGCCTCCTTCCCCTCACTCAGCTCCCAGGGCGTGGCTGGTGAGGGGCCTGAGTGTAGGGACTACCGTATCCCTGCTGCTCTGTGACCTTGGCTGGGGGTGGGGAGGGGTGCCAGTTCCTCTTTGGGACTCAGTGTCCGCAGTATGAAGAGGGCAATGGCAGAAGCCGGAAGGCAATCTGTCGCCCCCCTCAGATGTCCCCAGCCCAGACTGGGGGCAGGGCTGGGGGACAGCAGAGGGCCCGCGTGGAATGAAGTCATTCCCTGCATAGAGAAGGGAGGGCTCTTTTCACGGAGAAAATGGCAAGCTCCAGGCTCCAGGGGGACGGGCTCCGCGGGCTCGGGTCTGGGCAGATCCTTCGGTAATGAATTACCTCATAAGCAGCCGGGCAGGAAGACCCCACCCACACCTGCAGTCCCAGGCCCTTTCAAACAATGGGGCACCCCCAGCACTGTGCACGCAGCAGAGGGAGACGGGAGCCTCTTTAGACCACATCACCCCGGGGAGGCGGCCAGCTGGGAGCCCTGTGACAGGCAGGTGGGTTCAGGGCACCCAGGCCCAACAGGTCCCTGGCAGAGCTGATGAATGAGCGCGCCTGGCAGGTGCAGAAAGACAAAGGCTGCAGCGCCCCGGAGACGCGGCCCTGCCTCCGTGTCAGCTGGGGACGTGGCCGGGGCACCAGCGGGGAGGTTCCGGGGCTGCCCGTGCCCAGATCGCACTCTCACACGCCCTGCAGCGGCACGGAGACCGCAGAGCTTCCTGGAGAGGAACCAGAGCGGAAGGAGGGAGACGATGGGACAGAGGGACGGGCAGACCTCCGGACGTGCAGGGGGAGACAGCGCGCGCCCGGGAAGCAGGCGGAGATGCGGGGTGCAAGGAAGCCCGCTTCAGACGCGGGGAAGTGAGAGAGAGACCCAGAGGCAGGGCCACGGGGGAGACAGCGGGACCGGGCCGCGCAGGGAGGTGGTCACGCAGGGGCCGGGCATCGGGGGCTGGGACCCGCCCGCCCCACTCACCGAGGCCGCAGACCTCGCGCCGCAGGCTCAGGCGGCCGCGCTCCTCCGCGATGGCGCGCAGCATGTGCTGCAGCGAACGCTCCTCGGCCTCCGCGTTCTTCGGGAGCGCGGCATTGGCACTGGCACTGGCGGGGAGGGCGGACGGCCCGGCCCGGAGCCCCGTGGGCGCGGGCGCCGACGCACAAGCCCGGCCCGGCGGCCGCGCGGAGGCCATGCCGGGCCCCGGCTCATCGCCCGCGCCGCGCCCGCGGGGGCTCCCGGCGCGCCCCGCCGCCTCCGCCCGGACGCCGCCCGCCGCGAGCACCAGGGAAGCCACAATCCGCCTTTGTGCGCGCCGCCGCCGCCGTCACCGTCACCGTCACCGCCGCCGGCCGAGACCTGAAGCGAGCGAAGCTCCGCGGAGACGCCGCCGGCGCCAACGCCGCCTACGCCCAGGCCCCGCCCCTGACCACGCCCCTGGCCACTCCTACTGCCCCGCCCAGGGAGTAGGGTTCAAAGCCTGGCTCTCTCGATTCGTTCCCGGCCTCCAAGCCCCGCCCCTCCCCACCAGCCCACCCACGAAGGCCCCGCCCACCTCCGCGCGCCCCAGCCCCACCCCGGCTCCGCCCTCCAGGTCCCCTCCCCTGGCTCCCATCATCTCCCGGCTGGGCAGGCGCCAGCGGCCGGCTCCTCCCGGCCCTCCCCTGCGGAGCCGGCACTGTCACGCCAGGCTCACCACAGTGGCCAGCCCTTCTCCACGGCCACCTCGGCCACTGTCTTCCTTCCGGGAACCTCGCCTGCACGCTGCTGCTGGGATCTGCCTGCGCAGAGCCCAGCCAGGTCCAGGTCACCGTCCCCCAGAATGTCTTGCGGGACTTGCAGGTCGACCTCACCTCCTCTCCCACCCGCACCGGAGGGTGTAGAGCCTCGGTTTCCTCCCCTTGCACTGTGGGGGACCCTTCCTGAAAGGAGGGGGTATGAGCTCAGCTGGCGGTGAGCAGGTGAAGGCCAGAGTCCTGAGGGAACCCCCGCATGTGTAGAGGGTAACCAGGGGCTCCCCAAGTCTCCCCCGGCCCCCCACGTCATGCATAGTGTCACTTGGAAGCCGGGTCCTAATCCAGTGAGGCTGATCCAGCGAGGAGGAGCGGGCCTCTCAGACCTTGGGCCTCAGCTTTGCACGTTGATCAAAGGATTCAACTAGCACACGCAGGCAGTGATGCAGAACAGGTAGGAGCCAGGCGAGTGGTGCATGCCTAATCCCAGCACTTGGGAGGCTGAGGCAGGAGGATGGCCATAAATTCAAGCCCAGCCTCAACTACACAGCAAGACCCTGTCTGAAAAAAAAAAGAGGAAGAAATCCCAGAGCAAGTTTTCCGCTCAGGCCACCACTGAGGCCCAGGATGCTGCCACCGCTAGACTCAACCAACTCTGTGCACTGAGCTGCTGCACAAGCCAGACTTGTCCCACATGCCATGGCTTCTGGCATCAAATCAACGTGGCCCACTTTCCCTGGCACTCTGCCAAGGACAGGGACCAAGGATGTTTGTTGAATGAATAAATGAACATCACTCGGTCTCTCCTTTTTTTGTGTCATCTACACCCCTAATACTCGGGGTATGGTTCATGCAGGGGATTTTCTAACATCAACAAACATGAAGTTATGATTTGGACTGTGGGGGGGGGAATGAGACTTCTGGGCTCCAGGGCACTGGTCCTGGGTCTGGTTGTGAATAATCCATGAAGGTTCATCACACTGAAACTCTGAGATGTGTGCCCTTTTCTGCATACAAATATTCAGGATCTGTGAGCCGGGTGTGGAGCACACACCTGCAACCCAGCACTCGCTCTAGGAGGCTAAGGCAGGGGATGGAAAGTGTGAGCTCACCTTGGGCAATTTAACGATTTAGTGAGACCCTGTCTCAAAATTGAAAAAAGAATTATTTGAGACAGCGCTTTACTCAGGCCTCTGTGTGGCCAGGGTGGCCTCACACTTAGGGCAGCCCCCTGCCTCGGCCTCCTGAGTACCAGGATTACAGGAAAGTGCTGGGGGCGAAGATCAGTGAGACGGCCCTGGCTTCCACCCTCAGTGTTAAAATAAATATCTGACATCCCTGAGAAAGTCCTGGTATCGTCGTGCTTCCTACACGGTGAACATGTTCTCCTCGGAAAGAGGTGTGAAACGCACCATTTTTAGGGTGCTAAAGAAGCGTTAGAGGGGTTGGGGTGAAGCAGGGCGCAGTGGGTACACAAGGCCCTGGATCCAGTCCTGGGCCCCTAATCAACAGGTGAATCTAAGTAACAAGCATTACAGGGCTGGGAGTCAGTCAGTCAGTCAGTCTGTCTGTCTGTCTGGTTTGTCTTTTGAGACAGCGTCTCGCTCTGCAGGTCAGGCTGGCCCTGAATTCACCGGGTAGCCCTGGCGGGCCTCAGACTCGGAGACACTCCTGTCTCGGCCTCCTGGGCGCTGGGGCTTCAGGCGTGCACCAGGACTACTGGCTCTGTTTGTTGTTTTTTGGTTTTGGGGGTTTTTTTATACTGGGAATTAAACCCTGGGCCTGGCACTTGCCAGGCAAGTGCTACACCATGAATGAGCGACATTCCTTGCAATGTAGTGATTTTTAAATAACTCTTCAGTAAAATACAAATTCATTATATCGTCTTACCTAAAGTTATAAACTAACAGTTGTGCACGGCTCAGGGGCACACACCTATGATCCCAGCTGCTTGAGAGCACGAGGCAGGAAGATCACAGTCAGAGCCCACCCCAGAAAATCTAGCAAGACCTTTACTCAAAATTTTAAAATAGCCAGGCATGGCGGCGCAAAGTTATAATCACAGCCCTCGGGAAGCTGAGGCAGGAGGATCTTGGTGAGTCTGAGGTCATCCTGCACTATGTGATCCGATCCTGTGTGAAATACATAGATAAACAGTGCAGGGATGTAACTCAGTGTGAAGCCCTTGGGTTTAATTCTCAGTCTCGTATAGGGGTGGAGAGAAGGCAGGGACAGGTGGCGGGAAGGTCCCAGTGATCGTCTGTGGTTAAAGATTTCTGGCAGCCCTGCGTGGTGTCAGGGGCAGAGTCCTTGCGGTGTCCGTTGTGAACTTAGGGTGTCCCCAGATGTCCCAGCCGTGCACACTTTCCCGTCTCATCTCCTGTGGTGACCGCTAGCAGCCTCAGGCCGAGCTGAGCTCCGCAGAGAGCAGGTGGGGCCGGGAAGTCGGCCTGCTTGCAGCTCGGCCCATGGCGCCAGGAGACCACCGAAGCCTTCCGAGGTCCCACCCTGTGTTCCCTGGCTGCAGACACAATGCCAAGAGTACGGAGCCCAGGGCAGGGGGCCTGGCCAGCCGTCCACTCCCACCCACGCCGCCCCTGCTTGCCCACAGCACTAGAAAAGGCAGCGTTTAGTGGAAGGAAGGGTCAGCTGCCGTGAGGATGCTTTAGTGGCTCAGCTGCTTCACCCTCGGGTGTCCGTGTCCCCTGCTACTATGGGTGTGGGGTTGATGGTTCAGCTTCTCACCTCTCAATGTTTGGCTCTAATTCTACTCAAACTGCAAATCAGCGTTGAGAAGGAACGACCCACTGTGTGTGGCACACACCTGTGACCCGAGAATCGGGGAGGCCGAGGCAGGAGGATCCTGAGTTCAGCCTAGAGACAGTGACCGCCGATGGCGATGGGTCTACACCACGGCACCCACCCTGGGCCTGTCCCCTCCGAGCCTCCGCTTCCTGCCTGTATTACGGGGTGCAGGGCCGGGTGAGCTCGGAGGTCGCCCCTGGCCCTACCGCTCCACATATCTGTGATTGGCTGCAGTCACCGGTGTCCTGGCCTTTGATTCCCAGAGGAGTCAGCACTGACACCACCCTGGGCCCTGAGTGGAGGGGGCAGCAGGGCTGTCACTGGGTGGGGTCAGCTGCTGCCCCCTGTGAGCCGCCTCCTCCAGTGCTGGGATCCCTGTTCCCACACCCTCACCTGGAAGGGTCACACCGCCCTGCCCCGGGGCCAGCCTTTTGCGTGGGGCTTTCCTCCCCTGCTCCAAAGCTGGGGAGCTTTTCAGGTTCAGCTGCCCCCCTTCCCTCAGTCTCTTCTTCACCACCACCCCCAAAAGACACAAATCTGAAAAACAGCTCCTCCTCCTCAGCTGTTGCCAGGACTGTTAGATCCCTGCTAACACGACCCGGGAGACAGCCTTCGAATTATTATTAGATGCTGACACCTTGGCAAGAAGAAAGAATTCAGGGATTTAGAAAGAAGTGCCTGATGGAATTAGGGAAATTTGGGGTGTTTTCTTCTTTTTTGATTTTTTGAAACAGGGTCTCACTAAGTAGCCCAGGCTGGACTCAAACGCACCGAGGTCGTCCTGCCTCAGCCTCCTAACTGCTATTAACATCCAGCTGAAATGTGGCATGACCTCCATGACAACTGTGGCCCACAGCGTGGGGAGGACCTGTGACTGTCACTATCACCCACACAGGGCCCCGCAGCGGGGTCAGGCAGACATGGTTCTGGCCTCCCCAGAGCGGTCTCAGGAGTCAGGGAGCCCTGAGGATGGCGGGAAGAGACATTGTCACATGCAAGGGTAGCAAGATGTCTGTGGGGATGACAGGCCTGGAGCCACAGTGGTCCTTGGGGAGGGCAGGACTGTCATGGCGTTCACAGGAGGTGCCTGATGGCCCTGAGGGGGCAGGGAGGGGACCGTGTCTGGAGGTCATGGCGAGGCCCCGTGGGTGGGACGCGTGTACCTCTCCTCCAGACCTTGCCCTCCCCCGGCTTTGAGGACAGCGCAGCAGCGTGGCTTCCCTGTGTCACCCTCGAAAGCCGGGTGAAGCCCACGGCCTGTGAGACCAGGAGAGGGCACCGGGCGAGTGTGGGGCCCCGCTCCCCAGCCTGGCCTGGCACCTGCACAGACGGCTGGAAGCCAGAGGTAGAAATCACATGGCCACTTGACCCAGAACCGGGCTGGCCTTAGGGTCCAGCTCCTGCTCCCACAGCCCCTGCACCCCAGCTGCCTCTCCCAGTGCTGATGCTCCAGTAGCTCCACCGGCGGGGGGTGCAGGGCGTGCACGGCTGGGCCAGAAGCTCCCGGTGTCCCCAGGCCATGCCCCGATGCTCTCTCCTCCCGGGGAACTGCACGCAAACACACCCTGCCCTCATCCACCTCCTTCGTGGTCACCAGCCTCATGGGCTGGGTGTGGGGACCCAGCCCTGTGACTCCCCACAGGACGCCCTGTGACCAGGGACAAGGAAGCTTCACTGCAGAGCAGGAAGCAGCCTTCCCGGGGGCTGGGGGCCTCGGCGCCCTCTGTGCACTGTCCTAAAGACCGTGGACGTAGGGGCATCCAATGTCCCCAGGAACCCGCAGGACAGGCCAGCCTTGATGGTGCCCCAGGATCTGGGGGGCCTGGAGCCACCTGCATCCTCGAAGCTGTCACGGGGGAAAGTGAGA